ATTCATTTTTCTCTTACTTAAACCCCTTCCACCCACCTCTCCTAAAATTTCTCTGCTAAGGTTTAATCTCCCTCCTCCTCATACTTACACTCTCTCTAAATTCTGTTTTTATTTCCGGAGTTGTTTTTTTTTTTCTGTTTTTTTTTTTTGAATTTGTAGGTCTGATGAATTGGATCGTATTTACGATTCCAATGGAATAAATTATGACCATGGAATATTAGTGTTTAAGCTTTTTTTTATATATATATATATATATATATATATATATATATATATAAAATATCAAAATCATATATATATATATATATATATATATATATATATATATAAATAAAAAGAAAGAACAGTAAGATATAAAATCCGGTGTTCTTATAGATATTTTATTTTTTACAAAATAGTGCTCTATTTTTGAAACATGGTTGGAACTGTGTAGCGAAAATAACCATATTTTAAATCAATTAATTTATAATATATATATATATATATATATAGCAAAATTTTCAAATCGTGTAACAGCAAAATTGGTAGATTAAGCTTTGAACCGTTGTACTTTGAAATGATTAAAGATATCTTACTGGAATTTTCCGAGAATTTTATTTATTTTATAACAATTTTGCACTCTAATTTGAACAATAAAAATGTATTCAGCTCAAAGTTGAAATGATAACCCCTCTTGCTGTTTTGACCTCCAAAATCCAGGTTTCCTTACTACTCTTCCATCATTTTTAAGTTTATTCCCCGTTCTTTTGATGGTTCTTGAATGGAATTTGAAGATGGAAGCCAGAATTTTGTTTGTCACTCGATGAACTGCGCCCCACACATGATAATCAAGAGGGTTGCAGTCTGGGGAGTTAGGTGCCCAGATGGAAGTGGTTATATGGTCGGTAGATATTCTCTGACAACAATCATTGAGTTCTCCTGCTTATGTGGCATGTCTTGTTGCCAGGCGTATGGTGTTCCAGCAGCCACCCTCTTGACCCAGACCAGCAAGACCTCCTCAAGGCCATTAATGTAGGCGGAGTTCTTTTCTCATCAGAACGATCAGAGTGAGATTTCCGAGCTACCGTTCCTTTTTAATCATCATTAGACTCATCCAACTCTTTCCAAATCCTCTGCGCTGTCCGCAGATTGACGCCCAAATACTCTGAAATGTTCGTTAGGGGCTTCCGGCGAGAATACCAAGCTGTACAGCATGTCGTTTTCAAATTTCTGTTGAAGTGAAATGCGTCATGAGAGGCCATTTTTCTCACAGACGATGCCTAATTGACCCTACAAGACATTGCAGGCGACAAAATTAAACACAAATAACGCGCATTCGCGAAATGAAAAATATGAAATGGCGACAATTTACCCATCTCACTTTGCGCGCACGCACGCACGCACACACACACACACACACACACAAACATATATATATATATATATATATATATATATATTAAACATAAAAACATATAAATATATATATATATATATATATATATATATATATCATTTCACTTACCATGATCGGTCTAAATCATTATATATATATATTTATATATATATATATATAATGATTAAGTAAGTGAAATGAGAACGAAATTTTCTGTACTTCTTTTATTAAATATGTTTCTGATGCTTTCTTTTTCTTCTCCTCCTTCTTCCTTCTTTCTTCTCCTCCTACTTCTCCTCCGTCTTCTTCTTTTCCTCCTCCTCCTCCTCCTTCTTTCTTTCTTCTTCTTCTACAAATTCTTCTCTTCCTCCTCCTCCTTCTTCGTATACTTCTTCCTCTTCTTCTTCTTCTTTTTCTTTTCCACATCCTTCGCTTCCTCCTCCTCCTACTTCTTTCTTGTTTTTTCCCCTTCTCCCCCCTCTTTCTTCTTCTTCTCTTTCTCCTCCTCTTTCTTCTTTTTCTCCTTCTCCTCCCTTCCTCCGCCTCTTCCTCCTCCTACTTCTTCTTCTTGCCTCTCATCACACCATCCTTTTTTCTTCATCGTTATTTTCTCTCTTTTCTTTATCTCTTCCTTCTTCTCACTTTCTTCTTAATTCTACGTTCCACCCTCCCTCTCTGCTTGACATCGTCCGTGCGATTACCATTACAATTCTTTGGACCGTACTTTCCTTTATTTTTTTTCTAGTTCCTTCTTTTGAAGTAGATACATAAGCATAAGTTTAGTCTTGCACAAGGCCATGCCTTTGGGGTACTGCTTCTTTTCACTACAGTCAATGAACAAAGCCAGCTAGCTAAATATTTTGCCCTGACGAGGTGGTTTGAGATCTTAATTGAAAATCCTAACTGCTTGCAGAGGGAAAAAATAATGAATGAAAGTGAAAGAAAAATACTTTCATTTTCATTCATTAATTCCTTCTAATAATATTTTGTCGTCGTTTTTTTTTTCACTAATATTTTTCTTTGTAATACTAACTGAATTGAGTTCATTTTTTCTTGTTTTCTTTCTTTCATTCATTCATACTATGTATGTTTTTTTTATATTTTCTCTTTTTATTATCTCCACCAATGTCTTTCTTCTTTCTTTCTTTCTTTTATCTTTCTTTCTTTCATTTTTGTTTCTTTCTTTCTGTTTCTCTTTTTTATTATCTCCAACAACGTCTTCCATTTTCTTTCTTTCTTTCTTTATTTCTTTCTGTCTTTCTTTCTTTCTGTCTTTCTTTCTATCTATCTTTCTTTCTTTCCTTCTTTTTTGTTTCTCTCTTTCTGTTTCTCTTTTTTATTATCTCCAACTTTTTTCTTCCATTTTCTTTCTTTCTTTCTTTCTTTCTTTCTTTCTTTCTTTCATTTTTGTTTCTTTCTTTCTGTTTCTCTTTTTTATTATCTCCAACAACGTCTTCCATTTTCTTTCTTTCTGTCTTTCTTTCTATCTATCTATCTATCTATCTTTCTTTCTTTCTTTCTTTTTTCTTTCTTTCTTTCTTTCATTTTTGTTTCTTTCTTTCTGTTTCTCTTTTTTATTATCTCCAACAACGTCTTCCATTTTCTTTCTTTCTTTCTTTCTTTCTTTCTTTCTTTCTTTCTGTCTATCTATCTTTCTTTCTTTCTTTCTTTTTTGTTTCTCTCTTTCTGTTTCTCTTTTTTATTATCTCCAACAACGTCTTCCATTTTTTCTTTCTTTCTTTCTTTATTTATTTTTTTCTTTCTGTCTGTCTTTCTTTATTTCTTTCTTTCTTTCATTTTTGTTTCTTTCTTTCTGTTTCTCTTTTTATTATTCTCCAACTGCGTCTTCCATTTTCTTTCTTTCTTTTTTCTTTCTTTCTTTCTTTCATTTTTTTTTTGTTTGTTAAACAAACTTTTCTTTTTTATTATCTCCAACAACGTCTTCCATTTTCTTTCTTTCTTTCTTTCTTTCTTTCTTTTTTTTTTTTGTCTTATCTATCTTTTTTTTTTTTTTTTTTTTTGTTTCTCTTAAAAAAAAAAATTTTTTTTATCTCCAACAACGTCTTCCATTTTTTTTTCTTTCTTTCTTTATTTATTTTTTTTTTTCTTTCTGTCTTTCTTTCTTTATTTTTTCTTTCTTTCATTTTTGTTTCTTTCTTTGTGTTTCTCTTTTTATTATTCTCCAACTGCGTCTTCCATTTTCTTTCTTTCTTTCTTTCTTTCTTTCTTTCTTTCTTTCTTTCTGTTTCTCTTTTTTATTATTCTCCAACAACGTCTTCCATTTCTTTCTTTTCTTTCTTTCTTTCTTTCTTTCTTTCTTTCTTTCTTTCTAGCTAATTTATTTTTTCTTGACAAACTGTTTTTGAATTTATCTCCATCTTTCTTTTACTAACCCTACTCCCACGCATTTCTTTCTTCCTCCCTTTCTGTTTTCCTTTCTTCCTTTCACACTTCCTTTCTTTTTCATTATTTGTTCTACTCTGTTCACTTTTACCTTTCTTCTAATATTTCCCAATTCATTGTTTCTTGCATTTTATTATTTGTTTAATTCTGCCTTTCTTTCGCCCGCAAGGCCTTCCTTCCTTTATTTCGTTCTCTCTTTCTTTTTCCCACTTCACTTGATTCTCTTTCCTGTCTCTCTTCGCAATGATCAGTTCGGCGCTTATCTGGCTACTGGCTCGAGGCCAGCAGACAAGGATGCACTTTGATGTTAGCTAAAATACGCTGATTGAATCTCATTCTAATCATTGCAAATGTCCAATACTCCGAGGCAAAAACTTTTCCAATAATCTTTCCGAACGAAATGTTCGAGGCATTGTTTAATACACGCACGGGCACAGAGAAAAAGGAAAAACGGCAGGAAAAAAAGAAAAAAAAAGAAAAAAATAAGCCAAATAAAACAAGAACGTTTTATGGAATGAGGTCAATAAACATCTACGTCAATATCCGTTAGAGAAAAAAATATATATATATATATATATATATATATATATATATATATATATATATATATATATATATAATGAGAGTGTATTTATATGTATTATATGTATAATTTATGTATCATATATATATATATATATATAATGAGAAGGGAAATGCAGAGAAAGCGGGGGAGGATAGATGCAAAATGCTATGTGAAATTTTCATGAATTTGATCATGAAAAAAATTTATCAAAGCATCTAATTCCACCATGTTATGGGGAGTAATCCTCTTGCCCACGTATCTTCCAATCGCACAGAGGTAACTGTTCGCAAAATGGAGCAGAAAAAAAGAGCAAATCATATATCCATATATATACATATATATATATATATATATATATTCAGTTTCTTCAGAAACAGTCATTCACTTGTAGTTCACTGCTGCTAACTAGCTGGGCATACTGGTTGAAACTAGTCGAAGAACTTAATTGAATTAATGAAACAAAATTTAGTAATATACAACACAGTGTATCTGAAAATTTGATTTTTTAAAAATATTTTTAAAAACACACACACACATATATCTAGAGCATATTTATATGTACAGAAAATTATGTTTCATATATATATATATATATATATATGTAATAGAAATTATTAAGAGGATTTGAGATAATTATAATTAAGTAATTCATCGAGTCTAGAAGAAACCTCAACAGAATGCAGAAAGCACTGGACGGCCGTTTCGTCCTATATTTGGGACTCATCGGCAGTGCGGATCCACTACCGAGAATTGAAACCTGGACAGTTAGGACATCAGTCAAACGTCATACTAACGGGCATCGCTGACGAAGAGGTAACGAATTAGACTCGATATAGCGCCGCCCGATCACATAATCCGTAGTGGATTGTGTTGAGGTTTCTTCTAGACTCGATGAATTATTTCATATATATATATAGATATATATATATATATATATATATATAAGATGAAATATAATTTTCAAGTTTTCTATGTTTCTGAATTAAAGAGCTCAATATCTGGAACAGAGCGTATGTTAAATAATAATGGCCAGACGAGTGTACGTCATCAAAGAAACTGTTGCATCTGTGTGTTGACTTTAATGTCCACTTTTATATTAATTTATATATGCACACACACACACACACACACACACACACACACACACACACACACACATATATATATATATATATATATATATATATATATATATATATGTGTGTGTGTGTGTGTATGCATGTGTGCATAAAAATTCACACATAACTAGAAATATATGTGGAAAAAACAATAAAGACGAAAGCAAAACTTTTCTTTACTGACGCGTTTCGTTCTTTTATTTGAGTGTGTGTGTTCAGGTTATTATGTAGATGTTGACTGTCCCGTCGATTTCGACATATGAGAGATAATCGTTCAGTTTTAAGATCCTGCCCACAGACTATCCACCCATTTTTTTTTTATTATTATAGGGGCGTATATTTGTGTTAAACAGTCACGCCTTTCAGAAGAATTCATAACAGAGAAATTTGCACAGTGGACAACCAAATATTGGTACTGGTCTCCTCCGGCCTCCTCTGGTATGAATTTCCATCACTTAAAATGGTTACCAACCAAAATTACACAGAACAGTCTGTCTTGATAAAACATTCATAGCTGGAAAGAAAATAAATAGCCGCGTGCTTTTCCCAAAAGTGCTAAAGGTATAGCAACGACATCGGCCAGATTTTGATCTTAGCATGTTGACTCAATTTTCGTATGGACATTATGCCGCACGAACATCCTGTAAACGGACGCTTCTTCTTCCATATGCTGCGTTCGTTCAAGACACAGGCAATCATGGCTCTCCACAAGTTCCTATCTAGTGTGGTTCAGTAGTTTTTGTCCTTTTTGCTAAATCCACCACCACCCGTTTCGCCATTTGTTTACACAAGCTCAGGACATCTGAACATTGTGTAGTGAGAAGTGACTTCGATCTTCATAATACGTTTCAAGAGTGTGAATTCAATACCTGGTTAAGACAGTGAAGAACTCGGAGAGGGGAATTACCTGACAGAGAGGTTTCAGTTCGACATTCCAACCACCTATATATATAAAACTGACTCTGTGTGTGTGTGTGTATTCTCGAACTATTCGAGAACCATAAGACATATTTCCACCAAAGGCCGGAGCGTAACACGGCCGAAACGTTGTAATAAATATGGCGACAAAGGTGAGGACAATAGTCCGAATTATGTAAATAATTTATATATATATATATATATATATATATATATATATATATATATATATATATATATATATATAATCGACTCTCCCGTCGAATTCGACGTATGAGGCTCAAGCAGATCAGTTCCTAGGAAACTGACAGCCCGAAAACAGCACATGTGATTTGATTATAGTGGTGAAGGTTTCGTGCAGGAGTATCCACACTTTTTGAAGGGCCGAATACAGAGACCTGGTGCACTAAGTGCCACGAGGTCCCCAAACGACCCTCCGCAGGTTTTGAATTCAGAGTTGTCCTTCTCCTAGACCAGTTGCTTTCCAAGGCTATAGAACCCAGTTTGTCCTGCTATTTACCCATAGCTGGTGGGAGAACGACTGGAATTCGAACTCGGCTCTCCGATACCTCAATCCAAGCCTCTATCCATTACTCCACCGTGCCTCATAATGAAAATCATTCGGATATATATATATACCGAGAATTGAAACTTCCTGAGTAATAAATATGGCGACAAAGGTGAGGACAATAGTCCGAATTATGTAAATAGTGGTGTATATATATATATATATATATATATATATGTATGTATAATCGACTCTCCCGTCGAATTCGACGTATGAGGCTCAAGCAGATCAGTTCCTAGGAAACTGACAACTATAAGCATTTATGTATATTTGTGGAGTTTTCGTAGCTTATTTTTTTCAGGTTAGGTTTCAATTGATTTATGTAAATAATTTCAAGAATTTTTAGTTTTTGTTTATTGTTTTCATGGTTAAGTATAATTGTATTTTCAACAATGATTTTTCGGAATTGTGTATGTAGCCAGGCATGTTGTTTTAAATGCCTAAAAATGTTGGAATTGTCATTGAAATGGAGAGTTAAACGTCGTGAAAGCGCGTTGGTGGTGTGACCAACATAAATATTATTTACTCCGTTGGAGATATAATCTCCCAGAGGGCATTTGAATTTGTAAATTATGTTGGTTTTCTGCAAATCGCTAATGGGGGTGGCAATCATTGCGAATAATTGAGTTGGATATTCTAGATTGAGTGTAGTATATGATTAACTTAATTGTTTTGCTTGGATCTGTTGTAGATATATCAGTATTTACTAACTGTTTTAGTATATTTTCATCTTGTTTATAATTAGTATGCATTTGGAGATTAGTATGTTTGGAATTAGTTGAAGCAGTATTATGTTCTATTTGCTTAGTATTGGGAGTACTAAGAGAGCGTCTTATTTGTTCATCAACTATATAATTTGGAAAGCTTTTCTATATATATAAAACTGACTCTGTGTGTGTGTGTGTATTCTCGAACTATTCGAGAACCATAAGGCATATTTCCACCAAATTTGGAACATAGATTGTACTCGATACTGGGTGTGTCTGGGCAAGAAATTAGTCATTTTTCAAAAATCAATAATCGATATAATGTTTAAATGGGAATTTCCATTAGTTCGGTTGGTTTTAAACTTTCAGACTTGAAGTCTAAACCCTAAGTCCGATTTTAATGAAACTTGATAAGTGTATGCAACTTACTGTCACGCTTATTATACGCTATATTGATTTTCGTTTCTCTCGACACTGGGACCACCACTGTGCCACAAAGTGGCCCCAAAAATTACAATTGCTTCGATTTTGATGAAATTTTGCATGTTTGTTACGCTCTTACAATGAGATAGAAATCGGTTCTCAGATTTTTAAAAATGCATGAGGGGGCCCCCAGGATGACCCTATAAACCCCTTGATGCCTCATTTGCTTTTCAAGTGTATTTTGTAGCAGTATTCCCCAATTTTAATGAAAATTTCAGTAGATATTGAGATTATATCGAGTAACTGAAGTAGTCACTTGGAATTCACTGAAAATCAACACTGGGACCCCCACGAGTTAAGGGACAAGCAGGGAACCCCGAAATGTTCAATTAAGTCTACAGCCTTGGCCATAAAGTCGATTAACTAGAAAACTTAAAACAGATGTGCTTTATTATTTCAATTACTATTAGTTTTAAACCTGTCCTTTGGCTTGAATTTTGGGATCCCTACGGTGAACCAAAGGCACCTCCAAATTTTCAAATTGCTTCGGTTTCGACGTAATTTTACATGTATGTTACAATCTTAAAATGAATCAAAATCGATTATCAGATTTTGAAAGCTACATAAGGGGCTCC